GGTTCAAACCTACCAGCCACTCCTCGGAAGGAAGGTTGGGCAATCTACTTCTGTAGTGATACTGCCTCGGAAACCCAAGGAGAGGTCGCTCTGAGTCCGGTCCGACTCCACGGCACATAGGAACAACAACAACCCGCACAGGGTGCCATGTGCCCTATTTACGTTATCAGTGAGCTGTCTGATCCGCTCGGTGGACCCGGAGCACCTCACATTTGCACAGCTCCACCCAGGCACCTGGAGAGAGTGACACAGACCACGGCTGAACAAGTCACGTTCAGTAGCTCGGTGCAGCACGGTATACAGAGAGATGCACGTGTATGGAGGAGCTGGCTCGGGCAGCTGTGGGCTGGCGGGACCGGAGTGCGCTGGCGGGGCAGCTACCACGTCTGTGTTACCTCTCAAGGCGCATACGCCCTCAGAAGCCTTCGCTCTTAAGGCCTTCCACTGATTGGACGAGGCCCACCCACACTGTGGCCTGTGATTGGCTCTACTGACAGGCTGATGATTTCAGCGTTAATTGCGTGAAAATCCCTTCACAGCAGCAGGCTCTCCTTGTTCCGTGGCCACGCTGCCTGGAATAAGTCTGTCGGTGCCATTTTGTTCTGACAGCGTGAGCTCACTGCGTGTCTCTGCCTCCCATTCTGGTCATGGTTTCTCAGACTTTCTCATCACGCGTCCACACACCGTCTACCACAGTGGAGTGTCCACATCACTGAGACGTGCTCTGGGAACTGAAACAGACGTGCGACCCCTTGACGCATCCTTCTCTTTATCGTGGTGCCCAGGACCAAACCTGCGGTGTCTCTGAGGCAGGCAGTGCGGAGGCATGGTGACCAGCGCTCTTGGCCTGTAGCTGAGCCAGGTCGGCTCTCTCGGAGAGATGCCACCCTGCGTGACATGCCCCAGGGGAGATGACAGCACCCACTCAGCGCCCCAGCGCCCAGGTCAATGGGGAGCTTCTCTGGTTGCCACGGTGATGGCACCCTGGCCGGAGAGGAGAACCAGACGGTGGCCCCAGTGAGGCCTTTCGTATGTGTGGCTTGCAGCCAGCCCAGGAGACCGCTAGATGGGCCGTAGGAGCTCAGGATTAAAATCGGCCGTGGGTAGTGAGCCTCACAAGGCTTCCCCTTCAGGGAGCAGCATCAGCACACGTGGCGTCTCAGAAGGCACCTGACGGTCTGCCCTCCCTCTGCTGGTGGCCTGAGGCGCGTGTCCTGCCTTACCATGGTCGGGTGGCGTGATCTGCAGGTGACAGTGCCGGAGCTGCTCCATCCTGGGCTCCTGATCCCCACCCTGAGTCCCGGGGTGTCCTCGTGCCTGTCTCGTAAAAAGAAACAGCTCCCTGCTGTTGAGTCAGATCCCACTCAAAGCAACCCCTCCTGGTGGCATAGTGCCTAAGGCACTTGACTGCTAACCAGAAGGCTGGCAGTTCAAACCCACCAGCCACTCCTCGGAAGGAAGGTTGGGTAGTCTACTTCCGTACCGATACCATCTTGGAAACCCAAGGAAGAGTCGCTATGAGTCAGGTCTGACTCGACGGCTCATAACAACAAACAACAACATCACTACGGAAGTAGATCGCCCAGTCTTCCTTCTGATGAGTGGCTGGTGGGCTTGAACCACCAGCCTTCTGGCTAGCAGTCGGATATCTTAGGCACTATGGCACCGGAGCTCCTGCCTGCCTCATAGTCATGTAAATAAATGTGGAGACTGGAACTGGTTTGTGAAGTGAGCAGGGATTTGGGGAGTAGGTTCTTGGCTTCCTTTATCCTTCATGTTTCCTGATACTGATTTGAGATCACAGGCGCCAGGTAGGGACAATCACATCTGCCCACTCAAGGAAAGACGATTTCTTTAGAGGTTCTGATAGATTCTAAGACCGTCAGCGGTGTCTTCTAGCCAGGTTCTCACCAGGGTTCTAACCTGACCTGCCTCCTCCAGGCAGCAATGTTGAGTGCGTCTGTGTGTTGGCTGCAGAGGGAGCTCATGGTGCTGGGGACTCACACACCTCCACACACCCCGGCATGTACACACTGACATATGCACACAGGTTTGCACACACCTACACACATGCTTATGTGTGTACACAGATGCACACACATCTCCACACATGCCATTGTGTACACACGGATTCACACACGTGTGCACAGAGATTCACACATACTCAAATGCACCCACACCACCACAGATACCGATGTGTGTACACAGATTCTCACACACTTCCACACACACCGTGTGCACACGGATGCACACATACTCCACATATGCCAGTGTGTGCACACAGATCCCCACTTACCTCCATGCACACCGTGTGCACACGAATCCCCACACACCTCCATGCACACTGTGTACACACATATCCCCACACACCTTCATGCACACTGACGTGCATACGGATCCCCACACATCTCCACGCACACCGTGTGCACACGGATCCCCACACACCTCCATGCACACCTTGTGCACACGGATCCCCACACACCTCCACGCACACTGCACACACGGATCCCCACACACCTCCACGCACACCGTGTGCACACGGATCCCCACACACCTCCATGCACACCGTGTACACACGGATCCCCATACACCTCCATGCACACCGTGTGCACACGAATCCCCACACACCTCCATGCACACTGTGTACACACAGATCCCCACACACCTCCACACACACTGCACACACAGATCCCCACACACCTCCACGCACACTGTGTACACACAGGTCCTGGACTTGCACCAGTGTCTGACATGTTCCTTGCTGATCTTGGGACTGTGCTGTTTGACCTGCTGACCTTGGGTTCGTCAGCCTGTGCACCCGGCAGCTGCATGAGTTACAAGATGCCTCTAGCTCCGGTGGGCCTGGAATAAGAAGCAGAACCATAGCCCAAGGTGGCGGGGCCCTCACCCAGCCTCTAGAGCCTGGCACTTTGAACTCGGATTTCTAACCTCCTGACTTGTAA